TTTAGACCCTAAAGAATCATACTAGCTTGTACAAAAATGGCATTATATGACCCCTTTAAGGTTGAGCCACTGTAGTCACTTGGACTATTTTAACGATGTCTTTAATAACTTTTCTGGGCCGGCCAGTTTCAATCCCTTAGAAGCCTATGGAGGAGTGATCCAGCTCTCAGATTTAATCATAAATATCTTAATTTGTGTCCCGAAGATGAACGAAAGTCTTACGGGGAACAACATGAGGGCGAGTAATTACTGACAGAGTTTTCATTTTTGGGTGAACTATCCCTTTATATCAAGATACATTTACCTGAGAAGCACAATGACAACGATATTATGTCTTGTTTTCTGAAAAATGTGTCCAAAATAATTGAGTTTTGCTTAAAACAAGAACACATATCAGCCAGTGGTGTCAGACAAATCAACTTATTTCAAAGGGAAAACAAGATTATTTTTCTGGCCCCATTGGCAGATATTTGTTCTTGTTTAAGCATAAACTTACTTAATTTAGATGATTTTCCCAGAAAACAAAATACATTTACTTGAGAAGCAAACTTACTTGGATATTACAATTTACGATTACAATTTTTAAAATATTTGTATTGGAAAACAAGACAAAAAAAACTGAGTATTATTTCCAATGGAAATGCAGAAAACCGTTTATACAGTCATGTGAAAAAATAAGTTTATCCCATGGAAATAGTTAAATTTTTTTAACAAGCTAACATTTAATCCTCTTTGAAACAGTGCCTCTTAATAAGGTTGATATACTATAAAAAATTTCACATTAAATTGACATTTTGCAATTTTCACAATATAACTGTACACAAAAACAGACCAGTCACATGGAAAAAGTACGTACATCCTTACATTTTTCACAATCCATTAAAATCAGGATCAGATGTTCAGGATTGGGTGCCAGTGATTAAAACCTGCTTAATGAGTCTTATTTAAACATCTCATATATAGTGTCTCGTGTTCCCTTCGCTTTCGAGGTGTGTGTGTGTGCGTGTGTGTGTGTGCGTCATCATGCCACGGTCTAAAGAGTTCTTGCGGATGCCTATGAGTCTGCCAAGGGATTTAAAATAATCTCCAAATTATTTGATAAACATCTCAAGTGGAACAGATTTCAAAAGAATGGCAATTTGTCCAGGACTGGCCGTCCCAGCAAATTCAGTCCAAAAGCAGATCATGTTTCCAAAACCCTAAACATTTCATCACAGGATCTGCTAGTAAGCAACTGTTGGTGTCAAAGTACATGCATCTATAATCAAAAAAGAGATTTGACCTGCATGGGAAGCATGCCAAGAAAAAGCCTTTGCTGTCTAAAGTTTTCCAATGAGCATATAGTCAAAGACCAGACCAGACCTAACATCCCTCGTGAAGAAAACCTACACGAAAATGTATTTATTTCATACCAAGTATACTACAAATCCATTAACACATTTACTGACATATCGCTTAGACTTACTGATATAAATATTATAATGAAACTTTATTTGGAGTACTTCTTTATTGCACAATGCACATTTCTTGATATTTAAAGTGATTTCAAGATATTTAAAGTGTACCTAAAGTACACTTGCAATAGTTCCACTTTAGCACAATCAAATATACTTGAGTATAACTTTAGTTGCACCTCAGCACTATTTCTGGATAACTAAAGTGCATAAAGTACAAAATTAGTTGTTCCAATTAGGCACTTTAAAGTATATAAATTTAGTATACTAAAAGTACAATCGCAGGATATTTATATTAAGTACATAAATATAAATGTATTTGTAGTATACTTAGTATAAAATAAATGTATTTCAAATAAATTTTAGTATATTTATTGTTCACTAGGGATGCTCTGGACAGACGAATCAAAGATACGGCTGTTTGGCCGATTCAGATGTTCCAATTCGATTCGATTTTGATTCGATTTTGATTCTAAATTCGATACTCGATTCTAAATTCGATTCTAAATTCAATTTCGATTCTAAATTCGATTTCGATTCTAAATTCGATACTCAATTCTAAATTCGATTCCGATTCTCAATTCGATTCTCGATTCTAAATTCGATTTCGATTCTAAATTCGATTTCGATACTCGATTCTAAATTAGATTTGGATTCTAAATTCGATTTCGATTCTCGATTCTAAATTCGATTTCGATTCTCGATTCTAAATTCGATTCTAAATTTGATTTCGATTCTAAATTCGATACTCGATTCTAAATTCGATTTCGATTCTAAATTCGATACTCGATTCTAAATTCGATTTCGATTCTAAATTCGATTCTAAATTCGATTTCGATTCTCAATTTGATTTCGATTCTCGATTCTAAATTCGATTTTGATTCTCGATTCTAAATTCGATTTCGATACTAAATTCGATTTGGATTCTAAATTCGATTTCGATACTCGATTCTAAATTCGATACTCGATTCTAAATTCGATTTCGATTCTCGATTCTAAATTCGATTTCGATTCTAAATTCGATTTTGATTCCTGATTCGACTCAATGAATATAGATTTAATACACATCCTATATTTATGAAAAAAAACAGTGAACATAAGTTTACAAGTGGTTAATTAATAAAAAGAAATAAAGAGCCACAAACCTGTATTTTAAACTTTTTATTTTAGGTACACTTGGGTACATTAAAACAGAACCCAACTCTATATTTCAAATGCATACGATGAATAGACAGGATTTTGATGCAAGATGAAAAATTGAGGCTGAGTCAGAACAGATGCCTTGATCAAACAGGATCAGGTTATTTTATGTTTAAGATAAAACACACATCAAATCTCATTCACATACAAGCCTATGAACAGTGCAGGGAAACTAATACTGGCTTTTGGGTGATAGATAAATAAATATGAAAAATAATAATAATAATCGATTCGTGGCCTTTGAGAATCGATTTTGAATCAACCACATTTGAAAAAACGATTAATTGAATTTTTTTTTTTTTTGCCCAGCCCTAAAGAAGTACCAAAAGAAATGTTTGGCGCAGACCAAAGGAGAATAACCTCATACGGCCTGTGAAGCATGCTGGGGGAATTGTTATGGTTTGTGGTTGCTTTGTGGCCTCAGGGACTGGACGCATTCATTGATTCAACTATGAATTCTGCATCACATCAATGAGTGCTTGAAGATAATGTGAGGCCATCTGTCTGAAAGTTGAAGCTGAACAGCAAGTGGACCTTTCAACGAGGACAACGATCCTAAGCATGTTAGTAAATCCACCAAAGAATGGCTCAAAAAGAAGAAATGGGGAGTTATGGGATGGCCTAGTCGAAGCCCAGATTTGAATCCCACTGAAAACCTGCAAACATCTTGCAACTGAAAGACTATTGCATGGAAGAGAGGTCAAAAATCCCAGCAAGCCAATGTTATGCTACGTTCACACCGGACGCGAATAGCGCGTCAGGCGCGAGTGATTTCAATGTTAAGTCAATGCAAAGACGCGTTACGCGCGTAAAAAATTCCTGCGGCGCGAATGAGGCGTAGAGCGCGGCGCGGCAGACGCGAATACGGCTCATTCGCGCGTCAAGTTCGCGCGAATGGCGCGAATTGAAGCGTCTGGCGCGGAAGCGCGTTACGCGCGAATGATTTAGTTAGTGCTATTTGTGCATTCACGCGTTTGACGCGTTTGAATTCACGTCTGCCGCCCGAGTTGAAAAATTTGAACTTCTGCGTCAATTCGCGCCGCGTTAACCAATCAGGAGCCTGCTTGCTGCTGTCACGTGGTGAAGTGAAAGTTTGTTATTTTAATAAATTATTTTGTAATATTACTAAAATGTCTGGTGTGGTTCTAATGCACAACAAAGCAAATCTTTCACATAAAAACTCGATTTTAATATATGAGAGATAGTACTCATTTTGTATTGAATGCTATTTATTCCATATCTATTTTAGATTATATGAAACATTATTATTTTAATGTAAAAACAACAAACACATAGTGTATAATAAATAAAAAAAATCACAGGACAGGTTTCACTTTTGGAGGCTGGCTCCATTTATTATCAAATAAATGTGCGGGCGAGGGTGAACCTCGCGCCGGGCTGTAGAGCGCGGGCTCGTCAGGCAGCGACCACTCGAGGCCGAGGCTTTACACGGCCTACGGTGTCCTCGTCAGCGTCCTCACCGTTAGGTCCACCAAACCTAGCTCCTGGAACAAATGGTGAAACTCCTGAAACCCTCCGGAGGGTCTGGTGGACCCGAGTACAGCGACGATGTCCCCTACGCAGCTGTTTCTGCTCTCCAGAGCATATACGAGCGGTGACTCTCTCGAATAATGCTAATGCTCGATAAACAATGCTCGAAACTTTCGCCTCTGACGCGCGTAAATTTCGCTTCAAACTTTTGTTTTTACGCGCGTCAATTTCGCCATTGACACGCGAATTAACACAAAGTGGTCAAGCGTCAAACTAGACGCGGTAGACGCGAATTTGACGCGCTATTCGCGTCCGGTGAACGTAGCATTAGAGTGGACGATTATGCAAAATGCCTACAAGATGTAACTTCTGCGAAAGCGGGGCAATACTAGATACTGAGGAAAGGATGTACTCACTTTTCTAAAGAAGAAATTCATATCTATTGGGACTTTTGTAGAGTCTATAATTGAAAAAGCTCATTTTCTTTGTAGTTTTGTCCAAGTATATCAACTTTATTAATATAATCAAATGTTTGCCTGTCCAAATATGCCAAAAAATAAAACAATTTCCATGGGATGTAGCATACTTGTTTTTTCACATGACTATATTTAATATATCTTGACTTGCTGTTTTATGATTTTACTTTTATGCGTTCCACTTATTTTACAGCTTGTGTTTTATTGTTTGAAATTCTTCTCTTTTTTTCTTCCTTGTACAGCACTTTGGTCAACTTCGGTTGTTTTTAAGTTGTGCTTCATAAATAAACATTGTATTGTATGTATGTTACGCAAGTATGACTGTCATAAAAATCCTGGTTTGTATGTTGGAGTGAGTTCACGGCCGTGTTTTACTCACATGGTCTGTGCGTTCTCATCGTAAGCCAGAATCTGCGTCACCTCCCAGTTGCCTGACGTAAGATGACGCACCTCATTCTGATCTGCCCGCACCTAAACAGACACATGACATCATCAACACCAGACTGACGCTATCGACCGTACAAACAGATGTGCAATTATTGGCATCACTCCTAGACAGGGTTTGAAATTAACATTCACTCACCGGCCAATTTGGCTACAAAATTTTTAAGTTACCGCCCATACAGAACTTATACTAGCCAGAAAAATAAGAAATGAACCAGATAAACTGTCACAGCTTTTATATACCGTATATATATATAAATATTAGGGTTGGATACCGAAACTCGGTGCCAATAGGGAACCGGTTCCGACGTAAACGGTAGTAACCAGACCGAATAAGAACGACAATTTCGGTGCCTGATTTCGGTGCCTCACTTAATTAGGCACACACACACACGCACACACACACATGCACAGTCTCCTCTGTCTCGCATGCACGCTCTTGATCGCAAGGTTTGGCTGCATTTCACGTGTAAAATTACGCGTCAGAACGCCCTCTGGGTGTGCCGATAGTCTGAATCCCATATAGAATCAAGCCAATTCAGTGGCTGATGGCGCGGGCGCCGCCTCGACGCACTTATGTCTTCATATGTTGGCGCGCGCGCGCCATCTGCTCCTCAGATTTCTCTGCCGAAAAAGGAAGCTGGTCGGCAGCGTGAGGAGCTTGGCAGCGTCTCGTTCCCTATTGAGAGAACATAGGTTACACCAGTAACCAGAGATGTTCTCTTTCATAGGTTCACTCAACGCTGCGTAGCTAAGAAGCAGTGGATTTGTATTTGTAGGCTGTTGTATCACGTGCCGTTTGAACTGACGCGCTACAGCGATCTGTCACATTTCAAAGAGCCAAAAAACGTTATTTATTGTGTGAATCTCGTAAAAATATTGACAGAATCTGACAGCTGTGGATTTGTTCCATATCAAAAGTAACCTTGTCTGTCGGTGTCAGTGTCCTCTTTGTCCGCGATTTTTCTCTGCGTGAGAAAATGGCATAGACAGTATAAGAAGGAAAATGGATGTGTGGCGTGCGTGAGAGCGTGTGAAAAGGGTCAATTGCGTGAGTCTCACGGTCAATGCGTGAGAGTTGGCAGCTCTGCCTGCTAGTAATCTCTATTAATCTCCAGTATTATTACATTGTTTGATACAATATTGTTTTATTTGATATTATGTAAATGTGTAAAATGTTATGTAATTTTTTTTATTTTATATTGGTTTTATTATTACCATATGTTACTTAAAACCCAACCGATACCCAACCCTAATAAATATATATACACGTACGTATATTCTGTTGTTAAATAAACCTAATGTAGGCCTAACTGAAACCCTGAACCCTGTGGTTTACCCTGATGTTAAAACAACACTTCTTATGCTTCAGTAAAACACTGCTGTTCACTTCCAGAAGCTGTAGGGATGCTTTCTTGACACAAAAAGAATGTGAACAGGTAATGTAGGTTATATCATTTTAATTACACTTTAAAGATAATTTAAGTTTATTTTACACACTTTAAGCTTTATCGTATTGCATATCGAATATCGCAATATTTACTGAGATATCGCATATCGGATTTTTCTTCAATATCATGCAGCCCTAATATATATACACTATATATATATATATATATATATATATATATATATATATATATAATACATTTTGGATTTCATACATTCATTTCTTATTCAAACAAAATCCTGTCATCCAGAAACACAAAAATGTGTTTTATGTGGACAGATCAATCCAGGACACAGAACATGTCGGATGTTGGAAAATAATAATGTGTTTTCTGTTCACCAAATGCTTTTTAATATTCGCTATTACTTCAATGCAAGTGAACAAGCGCGCCGTTATGTGTTGCGTAGTGACGTGTGTGTTCAAGTAAGCCAGAAATGAGCAGATTCTACAATACGCTGTATTTAATATATCATGAGGATCACGAGTTGAGGATTTGCGCTAAATCCGCGCAGATTTGTCTTACACGAACTTCCCCAGCAAAGTGAGTAAACACAGAAACACGCCAGATTGGCTCGTGATTTGACAGCGTTTGGCGAGTGTTCATTTCAAACCCTGCTCCTAGCATACATGTGTACCTGAGAGGTGAACATGGCGATGTGGTGAAAGTCTCCACGTCCTCCCTGCTTCACCGGGACCGTCAGGAAGAAGCGGCTGCCGTCCCGTGAGAAGAACGGTTCCTGGTTCTGGAGCAGCCATGGAACACGAGATGCATTAAACTCATGAGACTGAAGATCACCATGCAAACATCTAGTGGAGATTCACCTGTTTCGAGAGCCAAACTTCTGATGTTTCCTCATGCCTCTGAAACGAAACATCATCACCATCATAATCATCATCAGCTTGTGTGTTAGTCTGAGTACGTGTGAATATGTGCGCATGTTCTTGTGCATGTGTGATTGTTTGTGCTTGTGAGTGTGCATGTGTGCGAGTGCATGTGTGCATGTACTTGTGTATGCGAGTGCTTGTGCATGTGTGTTTGTGCGTGTGCGAGTACTTGTGTGTGAGAGTGCATGTGTGAGTGCTTGTGTGTGTGTGTGTGTGCATGTGTGAGTGCTTGTGTGTGTGTGCATGTACTTGTGTATGCGAATGTTTGTGCGTGTGTGAGTACTTGTGTGTGAGAGTGCATGTGTGAGTGCTTGTGTGTGTGTGTGCATGTGTGAATGCTTGTGTATGTGCATGTACTTGTGTATGCGAGTGCTTGTGCATGTTTGTTTGTGCGTGTGCGAATACTTGTGTGTGAGAGTGCATGTGTGAGTGCTTGTGTGTGTGTGTGTGTGTATGTGTGGGTGCTTGTGTGTGTGTGTGTGTGTGTGTGTGTGTGTGTGTGCATGTGTGAATGCTTGTGTGTGTGCATGTACTTGTGTATGCGAGTGCTTGTGCATGTTTGTTTGTGCGTGTGCAAATACTTGTGTGTGAGAGTGCATGTGTGAGTGCTTGTGTGTGTGTTTGTGTGTGTGCATGTGTGAGTGCTTGTGTGTGTGTGTGTGCATGTGTGAATGCTTGTGTGTGTGTGCATGTACTTGTGCATGCAATGCTTGTGCATGTGTGTTTGTGCGTGTACGAGTACTTGTGTGTGAGAGTGGATGAGTGAGCGCATGTGTGTGTGTGCTTGTGAATGCGAGTGCTTGTACATGTGTGTTTGTGCGTGTGTGAGTACTTGTGTGTGAGAGTGCAGGAGTGAGTGCTTGTGTGTGTGTGTGTGTGTGTGTGTGTGTGTGCATGTACTTGTGTATGCGAGTGCTTGTGCATGTTTGTTTGTACGTGTGCGAGTGCTTGTATGTGATAGTGCATGTGTGAGTGCTTGTGTGTGTGTGTGTGTGCGTGTGAGTACGCGTGTGCGAGTGCATGTGTGAGTGCTTTTGTGTGTGCTTGTGTGGGTGTGTGCATGTGAGTGCTTGTGTGCGTGTGTGTGTGTGTGTGTGTGTGTGTGTGTGTGTGTGTGTGCGCATGTGTGAGTGCTTGTGTGTGTGTGTGTGTGTGTGTGTGCATGTGTGAATGCTTGTGTGTGTGCATGTACTTGTGTATGCGAGTGCTTGTGCATGTTTGTTTGTGCGTGTGCGAATACTTGTGTGTGAGAGTGCATGTGTGAGTGCATGTGTGAGTGCTTGTGTGTGTGTGTGTGTGTGTGTGTGTGTGTGTGTGTATGTGTGGGTGCTTGTGTGTGTGTGTGTGTGTGTGTGTGTGTGTGTGCATGTGTGAATGCTTGTGTGTGTGCATGTACTTGTGTATGCGAGTGCTTGTGCATGTTTGTTTGTGGGTGTGCGAATACTTGTGTGTGAGAGTGCATGTGTGTGTGTGTGTGTGCATGTGTGAGTGCTTGTGTGTGTGTGTGCATGTGTGAATGCTTGTGTGTGTGTGCATGTACTTGTGCATGCAATGCTTGTGCTTGTGTGTTTGTGCGTGTACGAGTACTTGTGTGTGAGAGTGGATGAGTGAGTGCATGTGTGTGTGTGCTTGTGAATGCGAGTGCTTGTACATGTGTGTTTGTGCGTGTGTGAGTACTTGTGTGTGAGAGTGCAGGAGTGAGTGCTTGTGTGTGTGTGTGTGTGTGTGTGTGTGTGTGCATGTACTTGTGTATGCGAGTGCTTGTGCATGTTTGTTTGTGCGTGTGCGAGTGCTTGTATGTGATAGTGCATGTGTGAGTGCTTGTGTGTGTGTGTGTGCGTGTGAGTACGCGTGTGCGAGTGCATGTGTGAGTGCTTTTGTGTGTGCTTGTGTGGGTGTGTGCATGTGAGTGCTTGTGTGCGCGTGTGTGTGTGTGCGCATGTGTGAGTGCTTGTGTGTGTGTGTGTGTGTGTGCATGTGTAAATGCTTGTGTGTGTGCATGTACTTGTGTATGCGAGTGCTTGTGCATGTTTGTTTGTGCGTGTGCGAATACTTGTGTGTGAGAGTGCATGTGTGAGTGCATGTGTGAGTGCTTGTGTGTGTGTGTGTGTGTGTGTGTGTGTATGTGTGGGTGCTTGTGTGTGTGTGTGTGTGTGTGTGTGTGTGTGTGTGTGTGCATGTGTGAATGCTTGTGTGTGTGCATGTACTTGTGTATGCGAGTGCTTGTGCATGTTTGTTTGTGCGTGTGCGAATACTTGTGTGTGAGAGTGCATGTGTGAATGCTTGTGTGTGTGTGCATGTACTTGTGCATGCAATGCTTGTGCATGTGTGTTTGTGCGTGTACGAGTACTTGTGTGTGAGAGTGGATGAGTGAGTGCATGTGTGTGTGTGCTTGTGAATGCGAGTGCTTGTACATGTGTGTTTGTGCGTGTGCGAGTACTTGTGTGTGAGAGTGCAGGAGTGAGTGCTTGTGTGTGTGTGTGTGTGTGTGTGTGTGTGTGTGTGTGCATGTACTTGTGTATGCGAGTGCTTGTGCATGTTTGTTTGTGCGTGTGCGAGTGCTTGTATGTGATAGTGCATGTGTGAGTGCTTGTGTGTGTGTGTGTGTGCGTGTGAGTACGCGTGTGCGAGTGCATGTGTGAGTGCTTTTGTGTGTGCTTGTGTGGGTGTGTGCATGTGAGTGCTTGTGTGCGTGTGTGTGTGTGTGTGTGTTTGCGCATGTGTGAGTGCTTGTGTGTGTGTGTGTAAATGCAATTGCTTGTGCGTGTTTGTGTATACATGTGTGTTTGAGCGTGTGCGAGTACATGTGTGTGCGACTATGCGTATGAACACTTGTTTGAGTGTGTGTGTGTAAATGAATGTGTGAGTAGTGTGCATGTGTGTGTGTGTGAGTGAATGTGTGTGTGTGTACCTTGATGCAGGCTCCAGTAGTAGAGTCACAGACCGTCAGAATCGAGACGTTCTGCGGCCGGTTTAACCAGCGCACTGCTGTCTTGGTCTTACTGATCCACTTCACCATCACCACATAGTGTTCCCTACAGACACAGAGAGCGTCACACACCTGCTCCAGCCTCCATCACAGACACAAACACACCAGCACTATACCTGAGCTTGAGTTCATCTGGTGGTGTGAGTTCTAGCGTGTGTGTCGGTCCGTACAGGTTGACTACAAATAGTTTGACCATTGGATTGGGTTGCCCAGCCTGCAAACACAACACACGTCAACACTTACATTAAAATAGTGCTGGGCAATGATTAATCACATACAAAATAAAAGTGTGTGTTTACATAATATGTGTGTGTGTGTATTGTGTATTATTATATTGTATATATAAATACACATATATGCATGTATCTATTTAGGAAACATTTGCATGTATATAATGTATATATTTATATATAATTTATATTATATACAAATATAAATATTTTATATATAAATAAAAAAAATATTCTTAAATATATACATGCATGTGTGTGTATTTATATATACAAAATAATAATACACAATACACACATATATTTTATGTAAACACAAACTTTTATTTTGGATGCGATGAATTGATGGACAACAGTAATTTAAAATAACATCAAGAACAAAAATAATAATAAAAAATTCACCAAGGAAAGATGACAAAACAAATCGGATATTTCCTACAACATACAGCTTCCTACGGATATTTCCTACAACATACACTTCAAAATGTCTGAATGTCTCGAGCACGCTCTGGGCCTCAGTGTCATCACCTTATGTCACAGGCACAGATCAGGGCACACTGCACATGTTCGGCTCTGCAGCGCTGGGTTAACAGTGCAAAAGTGGAACAAATGTCCGTTTCACTTTTTTTTTGGGCGCGGTTGTTAAAGGGATAGTTCACCCCAAAATGAAAACTCTGTCAGTAATTACTCGCCCTCATGTTGTTCCCCGTAAGACTTTCGTTCATCTTCGGGACACAAATTAAGATAAATTAAGCTCTCAGATTAAATCTGAGAGCTGGATCACTCCTCCATAGGCTTCTAAGGGATCAAAACTTGCCGGCCCAGAAAAGTTATTAAAGACATCGTTAAAATAGTCCGAGTGACTACAGTGGCTCAACCTTAAGTTTATCAAGCGACGAGAATACTTTTTGTGCTCAAAAAACAAACCAAAATAACGACTTTATTCAACTCTTCATTCCCTTCTCTGTGGGCCTCGAGTGAGTTCACTAGTGTAACAGCGCAGCGCTTCTGGGTTGTTTTCTTCAAGCTGTTTTCTTGGTTGCTTTTGTTGTTTAACATTTACATGCGCATGTTGTACACCTCCCCATCTTAACAAACTTTCAAGACTAGTTTATGAATGACCAACTTCTAAAAACAAATTTATAGTTGTTTTTGTAAAGAAATGCTCGCTTATACAGGTGAAACTCGAAAAATTCGAATATGGTGCAAAAGTTCATTTATTTCAGTAATTCAACTTAAAAGGTGAAACTAATATATTATATAGACTCATTACATGCAAAGTGAGATATTTCAAGCCTTTATTTGTTATAATTTTGATGATTATGACTTACAGTTATGAAAACCCCAAATTCAAAATTAGAATATTGTGAAAAGGTTTTCATAAGCTGTAAGCCATAATCATCAAAATGCTTGAAATATCTCACTTTGCATGTAATGAGTCTATATAATATATTAGTTTCACCTTTTAAGTTGAATTACTGAAATAAATGAACTTTTGCACCATATTCTAATTTTTCGAGTTTCACCTGTATGTTGCCTGTACAGACGTTTCCAGTGTGAATACTCTCGCACGTCTACAGGCACAGTGACGATGTAGTTACGCTGACGTGAAGCTCAAGCTTGCGGTGTCAAACACCCATAATCCTGCTCTGGAGCGTCTAAATTACAAGTTTGAAACATTCCTCTACCCAGGGTCAAAAGCAGGGTTTATAATGACAATAACCCAGGAATCAGCGCAGTGTGAAAAGTAGGGGTGGAACGGTACATGTATTCGTATTGAACCGAAACGGTACGGGCGTCACGGTTCGGTGCACGAATTTACACGGAGAATACACGGTATAAAAATAAATAAAACTCGCGTGCAAATTAATTAATGTAATGCGGAACTACCGTTAGATACGCGGGTTCTTTAGGGACACATAATCTGTACTATTTGGCTTTATACGCGCGTCCTATAGGCTATATGCACGCATAAGTTCCGCATTTGACGCAAGGATGCTCTTCAGTTTCCGGTTGGGGAGATTTAAAGCGGAGGAAAACCGAGGAAAACGGGATTATGGTAGAGTCTTCAAAATTTACTGTCCTCCCGTCTTTGAAACGAAACTTTAATACGTTTAGATGTAATTTTATATATAGTTATGTTTATTTAATATAATAAACAGAGAAGCATAAACAAAATGAGGGGTGTCTGTTTTTGTGACTAACGTTTCTTTAGTATAGCAATAGACTATAAAAACCAATATAAATTCTCGGTATAGCATTGGACTCTACGATCGGCGGAAGTAATCCAGCATCCTTAGACCTTCACCGGAAATACCGCCGTGCATAGAGCCCATTCGCTTTGGACTAGCGTCGAACTAGACGCGATAGACGCGAATTTGACGCTCTATTCGCGTTTGGTGTGACCGCATAATGAACAGGCGATGTCAAGATTGCAATGCTGGAGTGTGTGTGTGTGTGTGTGTGTGTGTGCGTGAGTGAGTGAGAGAGAGAGAGAGAGAGAGAGAGAGAGAGAGAGAGAGAGAGAGAGAGAGAGAGAGAGAGACGTGGGCGCGATCGAACTCTGTGTGTGTGTGTGTGCGTGAGAGAGAGAGAGAGAGAGAGAGAGAGAGAGAGACGCGGGCGCGATCGAACTGTGTGTGTGTGTGTGTGTGTGTGAGAGAGAGGCGTGGGCGCGATCGAACTTGTGTGTGTGTGTGTGTGTGAGAGAGAGAGAGAGAGAGAGAGAGAGAGAGAGAGAGAGAGAGAGAGAGAGAGAGAGAGACGCGGGCGCGATCGAACTCTGTGTGTGTGTGTGTGTGAGAGAGAGGCGTGGGCGCGATCGAACTTGTGTGTGTGTGTGTGTGTGTGTGTGTGTGTGTGTGTGTGTGTGTGTGTGTGTGTGTGTGTGTGTGAGAGAGGGGCGCGGGCGCGATCGAACAGTGGAAACATAAAAAACATACTCCGTCATTTTGTTCATACAGATCATTAAACCTGCAAAGTGTTTACTTATATTTGTGTACACTCGCAATAAAACACAACATTGTGCTTTTGTCACACTGTAAACTCAAACTGTAACCTACAACTGTCACCCAACCAAAATCACATACACACACACACACACACTGTTTTAAAAGCTAAACATATTTATCCAACAGTCTGTGGGTCCCATCTTTTGGACATTCGTCATATTGCATTGGTTTTCATTTCTCGTCCTCGGAGCACTAATCTTAAACATTCTACATTGATTAAAAAAAGAAAATCAAATGCGTTTTTAATGGTAGTATTATTTTATACAGAAATCAATTATTTATAATTTAGATGAGAATAATGTTATATTGTTAATTAATAATGTTAATTAAAATTAAGGAAAACAAATATATTGATCTGAAATATAGCAAATTATTTTAAATTAATTCAGGTACAATTACCAAACATATCGCAAGGTCTTTTTGTCTTTTTATTAATTTAATTAATAAACTAATTATATAAAACTATTGTCAGTGCACTACAAATAAACTGGTTCTATGCCTTTATTAATAAAATGTATTTAAAAAATACAATGCGTTCTGCATTTTTGTTTAGCTTTTCCCTCCATTGTACCGAACCGTGATGTCTGAACCGAGGTATGAACCGAACCGTGACTTCTGTGTACCGTTCCACCCCTAGTGAAAAGCCCTATTATTTCCTTTTTTACATTAAATAACGCTGTGCCTTCACTTTCCCCACCCCGCTGGGTAACACATCCGACCATGAGAATGTGAAGGTCAAACTTACCTTCGGATACGGGTACTGTTTGCCTTTCGGGTACGTAGAGCCAGTGAAAGAGGGCAACACCATGTTCGGCACCAGACTGTCATTCAGGACCAGAAACGCCAGGCGCTCGCCGTCAGGTGACCACCAGTGCGCCACATGCGTGTGCAGGACCTCCTCTGAGCATGCGTGTTTGTGGTAATTGCAATTGGTCATTTGGTATTTTACAATAGGTTCAGTTATCTGTTATGTATGAGATCTCACACTGGAGTCAAACACAAACACCTGAGCATCACGTCACTCATCTTCATCTGTGTGTCGCACCAGAGGAAACGTGCATCATCATTACAGCTGCACGATTAATCATTAAAAGATCGCAATCTTGATTCAGACACGTGATCTTATTCCTATATGACAGCGATTCGGCTGTGTCTATTAAATCTTTGACAACACAGCGAACATTCAGATCTGCTGATCCAGAGAGAGAAGTTGTCATGTTTAGGTATGAAACTGTCTTTTCACCCACACAGTTTCATTATTTCGGTTACATTAATTCATATTATTTATCACAGAAGTACTGGATAAAAGTTTATAGTTCGGATATAAACACTGATGTCTACAGTAGCGATCAAAATATAGTAAATGACCGTTTGAAAGTAATTTGACGCTTTAAATAAATATCGCATCAATTACATCGTTACACCAGTAGGTGGCGACTTAAGACATGTATTTGTCATTGAATCATTCATTCAAAATATTTGTTCAAAAATGCTGACTCACCGAGTAATAAAACAGGCCTTTATGAGTCATTGAATCGTTCATTCAAACCAAATTTTAAAAAAGTATTCAAATTAATTTAATATTTTTAAATAAACTGCAGCAATTAACCTTTTGTCACATTTTGAACCTCTAGTAAATGACATGATTTTTTTTTTGGTTGTCTATTCAGAATCGTGGGAGAATTGTGATCTAATTTTAAACCAAAAATGTGTGATTCTCAATTTATCAAAAATGGTGCAGCTCTAATCATCATCTTGTCATATATTCCTTAAATCATCTCATATATAACAGAGCAAAGTCTCACCTTCATAGAGCCAATCAGCAATGCCGTTATAGATGATGCCCTCCTTCCCAGATGAGGTCAATCTCAGCGAGTTACTCCTGACGTCCGACTGATAGTAAATATTATTCTCAAATATGTACACCTACACACACACACACACAAGACATTTACAAAGCGAATCTCGATCGTGCACAGTAGCATTTCACACTTTGAAAATTACTGGAAGTCCAACTCAAAATACTAAACCATGACTTAAACTTGGCTGTGTTTAATTTAGTGTTATTGAATGTGCTCTGACACACTGCTTATAGACACGTCGTGAACTGAGTTTGATCTGCTCTAAACCTTCTCCTTACCTTACTCTAAAAACATGATATGAACATAACTGGACCATACGCACACAATGTAGAAATTATTTAAAACAACAAATCAAAGTACAACAAGAAACACTAGTTGTAAACACATTTAGTGTTATAGATTGTCTCTCTGAAATCAACAGCTCAAGTATTTAAGGAGTGTGTGAGTATCTGGAGGTAAACGGTAAGTGTTGATAGCAGGGCTATTAACCACCATAGATATCGATAAACAATAAAGTCCCCACAATATTTGATATTCTTGATGCTGCTCTGCTGCACTCCATAATACATCGGGTAGGCCTACTATGATATTAGACTACATAGCCTATAATAAAAGATAATGAATTTCAAACCAAACATATTTTTATTCAAAGATCAACAGTCTGTCATTAGTCTTTAGTCTGCCAGAAAAAACAACATTAAAATCATGAACTCACATTTCATTGTGAAAAAACAACAAAAATGACTAGGGGTGTGACGAGACGCTTATCTCACGAGACGAGACTAGACACGAGATTGGGCTCACGAGAACGAGACGAGACGAGATTTTTGCACAATTTTTCAGAAATCCTCAATGACAAAATTCATGGCTGGAAAAATAGTATGCAGGTGCATTTTTCAATGTTTTAACTAATAATCTTCTAATGCATGTCATTTCAGGTCTACTTTATGAGTATGAATTATCAAATGCATTGAAAGAAAACAATATTCAAGCACTGTAAAAGGTTTTTATTGACTGGCTTTTCTCCTGTATAATTTCACATTAGTCTCTTCAGACCTTACTGTACATTTAAGAGCTTTCAGAACTTCTGATTGAGGCTGTGTGTGACCTCCTAACTGAACTCCTTTTAACACACATTTAACAGAGAAATAAAAACCGTATAAATAACAAAAATAAATAACTGTTTTCTCTTAGTCTTATTAAGTGCAAACAATAAGTGCGAGTGCAACCATAATCAAAGTTAGCACACAGACTCTTTATAATTGTTGTGAAATTGCGGTTTTATTTTGCACCGGCAGTTATAGGGTTAATGCGGTGAGTTCGGAAAAGGCCGAGAGAAACAAGGCTGTTTGTCTACAGTTGTTCTTGCGTTCCGATTATAAGTTCAGAAACGGAGCCTCCCTTGTCTGTTGTCCTTTGTACGTTACAGTGCTCTCTCAATATTCGCAGTGCCAACAGAGACCAGAGCCGCAAATAAACAGTCCAGAGATGGGTATTGGGAGACGGATTATTTTATGTATGCAGCCTAATTTGTGCGCAATGCACATCAGGGAGCTTGTGTTTTACTTTCACTTACAAATTCGTGACCGTGCGTATAGGGAGCAGCGGTGCTGAGCGCCCATTCTACAAGATAAGACATTTACCAGACGTTTAGTCTGTTGCGCAACGAATCCTCCGCCATCGTCACGCGATCAGTGAACTGTGATTCGTGCTGCACTTATTGCAACGGCAACTCGTGCTGGATGAGCAGAGCAGACTTTTGCATTAGTTTATAATGGTTTTTATTTTTTTATAAAAACAACAAAACGATAGTTTAGGCGAATGTGAGTGTAGCGGTGGAATATTAATGGGGATATCGCGAGACAGCTTTTTCACTCGACGAGAAATCTCGTCATATTTAGTCTCGCGAGATCTCGTGGCACGAGATCTCGTCACACCCCTAAAAATGACTGTTGTAACAGTGCGTAAATTAGCTTATCAATGCTTCATAAAAAGAAATGTTTTTAATGTTTTATCAGACAATAACTACTCAAGATTTTGCTTTTGTATAATATCCGGGACAATTGGGGCCGGATTCGGGACAACAGCTTAGATTTCGGGACTGTCCCGAATTTTCCGGGACGTCTGGTCACCCTATGATGGACACTTAACTATCCCATGAGACATTCATAGTTAAGCATGAATTTCATACTATATAGAACACACTTTTTTAGCACTCGCAAAGTACGTAATCATTCAAAATAAGTACCTAATCAAGAGAATATGCATTTTCGGATGCAATTATAGTTATGGCTGATAGTAGGGATGCACCGATACCAGTACTCGTGTACTTGTAAAACTACCCCGATACAACCCCACTCGATACCACTTTAAGGGGCCGTTCACATGTCGCGTTTGGAAAGCGCGGCCGCACCGTTTCCATAAAATGTTTCTCCTTCTTTCCACAAGCGCTTGCGCTCCTGTGGCGTTTGTCGTTGCTATAATGCAACCATGAACATAGGCGCGGCTGGAAAAACGAGCGCGCTTGCCGTGCGCCTACATTTGAAATAACAAATTTGCACGCGCAAAAAACACGTGAAATATGAACGGCCCCTTATGGCAACGTGACATTAGCCTAACCTCTCCTCAGATGAGCAGGCAGTCAGAGGAGGAGTAATGTCAGCCGTTTGGAGATATTTTCATATAAGCGATGATGATAAAAGTAGAGAAGACTGCAAACTATGCTCTGCTAAATTGTCAAGAGGAGGGGTGAGAAATAGCTCCTTTAACACAAGCAATTTTATTATACAAGGTGTATAGGCCTATTTACTTTGTTACAGTCAGAAAGTAAAAACATCTGATGAAAATAAAACATTGCTAGAAGAATTGCTAATGGTATTATTAAGTAATCATATCGGTACTTGGTATTGGCAAGTACCCAAATGTAAGTACTTGTACTTGGTCTGAAAAAAAGTGGTATCGGTGCATCCCTAGTTGACAGTAAAAGTGGTATTGGTATATCCCTAGTTGACAGTAAAAGTGGTATCAGTGCATCCCAAGTTGATAATTAAAGTGGTATTGGTGCATCCCTAGTAGATAGTAAAAGTGGTATCGGTGCATTCGTGGTAGATAGTAAAAGTGGTATTGGTGCATCCCTAGTTGATAATAAAAGTGGTATTGGTGCATCCCTAGTTGATAGTAAAAGTGGTATTGGTGCATCCCTAGTTGATAGTAAAAGTGGTATTGGTGCATCCCTAGTTGATAGTAAAAGTGGTATCGATGCATCCCTAGTAGATAGTAAAAGTGGTATTGGTGCATCCCTAGTTGATAGTAAAAGTGGTATTGGTGCATCCCTAGTTGATAGTAAAAGTGGTATCGGTGCATCCCTAGTTGATAGTAAAAGTGGTATTGGTGCATCCCTAGTAGATAGTAAAAGTGGTATTGGTGCATCCCTAGGTGATAGTAAAAGTGGTATCGATGCATCCCTAGTTGATAGTAAAAGTGGTATCGGTGCATCCCTAGTTGATAGTAAAAGTGGTATTGGTGCATCCCTAGTTGATAGTAAAAGTGGTATTGGTGCATCCCTAGTAGATAGTAAAAGTGGTATCGATGCATCCCTAGTAGATAGTAAAAGTGGTATTGGTACATCCCTAGTTGATAGTAAAAGTGGTATTGGTGCATCCCTAGTTGATAGTAAAAGTGGTATCGATGCATCCCTAGTTGATAGTAAAAGTGGTATTGGTGCATCCCTAGTAGATAGTAAAAGTGGTATTGGTGCATCCCTAGTTGATAGTAAAAGTGGTATCGATGCATCCCTAGTAGATAGTAAAAGTGGTATTGGTACATCCCTAGTTGATAGTAAAAGTGGTATCGGTGCATCCCTAGTTGATAGTAAAAGTGGTATCGATGCATCCCTAGTTGATAGTAAAAGTGGTATTGGTGCATCCCTAGTTGATAGTAAAAGTTGAGCTCACCAGCTGCTGGCCCTGAATGCCCCACTCTGCATGCTGCAGTTTAGAGTTCAACACCTCTGGAGGATCCAGCTGCAAAACCTCCCTACACACACACACACGACAACATTCAAATTGACATTGTAACAACAGCTTTTACATTTCTGCTGCACTAGATGCTTGTCGCAACGCCTGTTCAACAGGGTACCCCCAGGATCCTCCAACTTAAATTCAAGGCTTTTTAATACCATTTCAAATTAAATTCAATGCCAACTTCGTACCCATTCCGACAGAAGTATGAGGGGAAAATGTCAAATCTGTATAAATTTGAAACCCCTAGAAAATAATTATGTACAAGTAGGCTACTTGAATTAAATAAAACATTTTATTTAAATAATCAGTCATATTTAAATAAATACGCAACCGCGTTGTAGTGTGCACGCGCACGTGTGTGTAGGCCTATTCTGATAACACACATTTGATTTGTAATATGAGAAGATGTGTTATCTTTTTTAATAACACATTTGAAAACTATACCTCTACCCCACTTAAGAAAATTGAACAGGTGTAGAGCTATTCATGGGGGGCACATATCAAAACTATGTTTACACACATTGCCTACCTACAAGCTACCCGACTGTTAAAACACACCTGACATGTCAACTCGAATGGAGATATGTCTCCATGACACAGCTTTTCTGATGATGTCCTTATACGACCTCAAACTTGTATCGTACAGCTCAGGAAATTCTATCTGAAAGGCGCTTTACGCTGCATGAATTTTTAATTAGCCTACATTAGTAACAGTTCATTTTCTTACGGTATGAACTTAATCCAAGGAAAGGCAAAAAATATATAAGACCTTTGTAACGAGATCCAAGACTTTGTATACCAAATTCAAGGCTTTAAAGGCCTTAATTTGAGATTATCAAATTTAAGACTTTTTCAATGCTTTTAAGCTTTTTTTTATTTTTGACTTCACTTTACTTTACTTGAAGATTAATATTTTGTAAATAAAGTGGTAGATTATGTTGTTTTTTTGCAAACCACAGAACAAACCACTCGTGTCGCTTCATAAAATTAAGGTTAAACCACTGGAGTCACATGGATTACTTTTATGATGTCTTTACTACATTTACGGGGCTTGAAAGAGGTAGTTGCGTAGACCAGTGGTTCCCAACCTTTTTTTGTCTGAGACCCCCTTTTTCCCAAGAAAATATTTTAGGGCCCCCCTTCACATTTAATGATATTATCGCTCTTGTAAGCTTGCAGCAAGGATGACAAAATATGTTTTTTTCAAACAAATGGTGTGTTTATGGACAAATAATAGCCTATAATATTGAAAATACAATAACAAAAACATCAGTAGGCCCTTTGTAATTTAAAAACGTAAGCCTAGGAGAAGCCTATAAATTGGCCCTATTTGAAATGCAAAAACAAAAATATTCACACTGGTGTGTAGGTAAAAAAAGAAGAAAGAATATAGGCTATTACTAAATGACTGTTGTCTGGGGCCTCAATACTTGCATGTTATTTGTGAGGCTTTATCAATGTGAGGCTTTATTTTTTACGCTTTTGGCGCTTTAGCGAGCGATAATAAACTTACGTTTATTAAAGGGATAGTTCACTTTGAAATAAATTTTTGATATGTTTTAGCTTACCTCAAGGGCATCCAAGATGTAGGTGTCTTTGTGTCCACAGTATTTTCAATTGTGATATTTTTAGGTCAAACCGTTCTTGTCTGTCAGTCATATAATGCAGGTCTATGGTCACCACCTCAAAGAGCATGCACAGAGAAGTCCAAATTAAACATGATTTAATGACTCGTAAATGTAAGTACACATTGATGGCCTAAGACACGAAACGAGCGGTTTGTGTGAGAAAACGAACAGTATTTATATTGTTTTTACCTCTTGTAAACACAGCCACGTCCAAGTGATCTGAGGGCGCCGGCGCTTCGGTCTGCGCGTTACAAGAGGTAAAAACGATATAAATACTGTTCGTTTTCTCACACAAACCGCTCGTTTCGTGTCTTAGGCCATCAATGTGTACTTACATTTACGAGTCATTAAATCATGTTTAATTTGGACTTCTCTGTGCATGCTCTTTGAGGTGGTGACCATAGACCTGCATTATATGACTGACAGACAAGAACGGTTTGACCTAAAAATATCACAATTCAAAACTACTGCGGAAACAAAGACACCTACATCTTGGATGCCCTTGAGGTAAGCTAAAACATATCAAAAATTTATTTCAAAGTGACCTATCCCTTTAACAGAATAATGCGTCTTTCGGAAGAACATTGTAGCCGGAACTACTTCTCTCTGTGTACGTCTATGACGAGTCACGCAGGCACTGGGCTACTCCGCAGCGCAGCGATCCGAACCAGTGTAAAATAGTCCCAATGTAAACACTTATTATAGGTGTACCATAGTGCTTCAGGATAAGACAAAAACACGGATTGGAAAATGGATTCATGATGAACTTGCTCATTATATACATTTTGTAAATTTGAACAGAAAAAAAGTTAAGGACTTTTATTTAATGCTCATTGCTCAAACCTTTCAAAATATGACGCGACCCCCCAGAGAGCTCGCTGAGGCCCCCTTGTGGGTCGCGACCCCCCTGTTGGGAACCGATGGCGTAGACTCTCGTCGCAATGGAGGGACAGAAATCTCTCAGATTTCGTTAAAAAGATCTTCATTTGTGTTTTCCGAGGATGGACGAAAGTCTCACGGGTTTGTAATGACATGACACCCAAAAATGCTAATTCTGTCATTAACTCACCCTGAGTTAATGACAGAATTAGCATTTTTGGGTAAACTAACGAGTTATGTCTACTTTTTGTGATGGCTAGTATTTACAAACAGTGGGAAACTCTATATTCATGCATTGTGCGCATGTTAAAATATAAAACGGGATTTTAATCTTATGACATATAAATGTGCATATGAATAACATTGTTTTTATAATAAGTTGCAGCCCTATCGGATTAGAGCAAATCTTGAACTGAATAATGACACTATTGTCTTCTATGTCAGCTTATAGCTAAAACTAAACTCATTTCATAATTGATACATTTTACACAGTTAATGAAGTGAACTGTATCAACATTGAGCTGTTCAACATCACAGCCACGTTCAAAGCGTCAGTCGTATCGGACGCTCCTCCTCTCTCATTAGGACTTAATTAATGACATACTTTTCAGCTCATTTCACAATGTTTACCCTAGAACACCTGGCTCAGCAAAGGCATGTTTAAACACTGAATATGATTGACTGTATTCTCTGACCATCTGTGAAAACAATAACAGATCTTACTCCACCTGGTGTGAATGTTGTATATGATGTAGGACGCCGTGAATGAGTGCCGGTAAACCTGCAGTCAGAAAACACAACAACAATGAAGATTAAACCAAACGACCTTCAAGAAAGTTCAAATGACTTCACTAAACACAATCCGATTTTAAACGCATAAATAAACCATATTACTAAAATGAAAGTTTGTGCACAGGAAAAAAAAAAAAAAAATTCTTGCTCGTTTTCCAGAACAAATATCTAAACATCCTTAAATCAAGATACATTTACCGGAGAAGCTAAATTAACTCAGATATTAGCTTTTTCATGCTCAAACCACAACATTACACACTAAAGAAAGATGAACATGGAAAAAAAGCATAATAGAACTCTCTCAGAAAAATGCAAAGCTTCATAAAAAAAACAGAAAAACATCACACACCTGTTTAACATTGTAGGCGAAAAGCATATACTTCATGTCCGGGCTTAAAGAGTATTTGGTGGCTTTAAAAGTGTCCTGGAAAAAAGACGAAAACATGGATGTCATCCTCACTACTGCATGGGATCATAAGCATTCATATCCCCAAACCTACAGGCCTTTTTATAACTTATATAAATTAACAGGCTTTTTAAAATAATTTCTACAGGCTAAAAATGAACTTTTGAGCTCAATTGTATGTTCAGCCAGTGTTTCTACATTAGTAAATTGTTTATTTGGCCAAATGCAAAACTATGCAAAACAAAAATGCATAGAAAAACAAAAAAGCTCACAGGAAAAAGCATACGGTCACGCTTTATATTTAGGGTCCAATTCTCACTATTAACTATGAATTTTGCTTCAATAAACTCCTAATTACGGCTTATTAATAGTTAGAGCAGCTAATATCCTAGTAATATGCATGATAATAAGCAACTAGTTAATAGAGAGAATTCCCTAGATTAAAGTGTTACCAAGCATACATTAACCACAACACAAGATATTAATATTCCACTTGTTCTCTCTTGTTTTTGCATGTGTTCTTTGTATGACAGCCTTGATCAAAATGATTTCAATGCGTTATCACCACAAATAAAACAATCCAAGCACAACTACGCAACAAAATATTGAACAAATTTTGAATAATATTTGAATAATGGGTCCAATTCTCACTATTAACTATGACTTTTTCCTCAATAAACTCCCAATTACGGCTTATTAATAGTTAGAGCAGCTCATATCCGAGTAATATGCATGATAATAAGCAACTAGTTAATAGTGAGAATTGAACCCTAGATTAAAGTGTTATCAAGCATACATTAACCACAACACAAGTTATTAATATTCCAATCTGGCATGTTTCATTGCGTTATCACCACAAATAAAACAATCCAAGCACAACTACGCAACAAAATATTGAACAAATTTTGAATAATATTTGAATAATGGGTGAAGATGTTAATTTTCCTAGGCCAGATATCACTTTAGCCCACTACTGTATAAATAATATTTACTCACAAATGTGACGTTCTTCAGCACGATCTCAGTCTCGTTCGTGAGGATGTTAAACCTGATCACATGTCCATTGTGGTTCCTGTAGATAACCTCAGATTCTGACAAAGAGTAAAAAAAATGAGTTAGTCAATGTCTCCTATCTGTGATCAAGAAAAATATCTGCCAGCGGGGCTGGAAAAATCAACTTAATTCAATTTTTTTGACCCCATTTGCAGATATTTTTTCGTGCTGTCTTTCTCTTTCACCTGTGCTCTAGCTTGTGTCCTGATCTATCTTACACTTCACACTTCCGGACAGATAAACAGGCTGAAAGTAAAGCAGGACTGTTCATCCATTTCACGTTCAGTCATTCACATTTATGAGCTGCTTGACGGTTGTAAAGGTAAATTTCCGGTCTGAGACTCTTGCAGAGCTGCAGTGAGGAAAAGCAGACGACACACGGTCAAACATAAAATAGAGTAATAGATCTCTCAGTAACAAACACAAAACCAGAACAAAACACTGACCGCAGAAAGCAGAACGTATCTGGAAGACTGATTTAAAGAGGATCTATTATGCCCTTTTTCAAAGTCTTGATTTTGTTTTTTGGCTCTACTAGAATTTCAAGCTTAAATGTTTAAAAAACACCTTTAAAGGTACAGTATGTAATTTTTGGCCACCAGGGGTCGCTAATGTCTTACAATAACAAAGGCGTATATCGATGACGCAAAGCATCAAGCGGAATTATGGATCTTGTCGTCAAGCTGATGGATCTTTCATGGATGAGTGAATACTTCAATGTTTTTAACATGACTGTGGTATGAAGCAGGGCGCGATTGCTAACGAGAGACGTAACATTATAAGTTACCAGCGCCACACGCAACGCGAGTCCCGCGGATATAAAGGAATAAGGACATTTCATTCTACCGAACTACACGCAAGTGCTGAATAAGTTACTCACAGGTCAGTTTATTAGACGAATTAAACTTGAGGTAACGCAGCGCTGTTTCACTTGCTCTAACACTTACACTATCACACTAAACTGCATTTGAGTGTGTTGAATGTTGTTAGTTAGGTTAGTTGTTGGCTGAATGAGACTAGCAATAAGCTAGATCAACATTAGAATAACATACAGATCATATTCTAACATTTCATCATATTGAACTACATAGCATTGATTAGTTTTATGTACATTTGCTCACCTGTCTAATAAAGTACATGCAACACTCGCGTCTCTGTCAAGTCGAAGTTAGCCGCGGACGTGGAGCTCTCGGCATCTCGAAAGATGACTTCGTTTTAGTCCTCTTTTTGTCTCAAAGTCTGCTTGCCATGGTCCAAAATGTTTGAACAAAACAACAACAGCGGGAGCGTCCTGCTAAGCATAACCCAGTTGTCCACGTCTGTCGCCATGGTAACTATGGCAGTACGAGCGTAACCGAGGCTAACGCGGATATGACGTCATAGACTGGCGACTCCTCACCGCTGCTCACACACACGCCCCGTTTCCTTGGTTAAAATCGCAATTTTCTCACGATTTACAAATAGTTGGAAACATTGGGGATATTATAAGTAATCAACTAAACAAAATATATAACATTGGCCTAGTGGTTTTTGGATATTTTACTGCAAAAATCCTACATATTGTACCTTTAATGTTTAAAGCTTGAAGAATGAAAACATGCTAAAGTGAAGGAGGTCTATTGCTATCAGAAGGTTTCTGGATTGTCAAGCAAGCTAAAGGCAATCTTACGAGCGGATGTAGAGCCGCTAAAGGCCCATTTGTCAATCTATTACTGCTAAATAATGCATAAACATAAACACATCTGTTTAAAAGGCTAATTGTACAGCTTTGACATTGCTGCGGTTTGAATTTATTTCTTCAAATGCACAGACTTTACATCACTATTTAGGAGCGGAGTCATTAACATAAAAAAGGATCCGGGAGCTGATGTGCACGTGACACAAACGGCTCGACTCGAAGAGTTGTGCAAAAGGTGAACTTTGCTGAGAGATTTGTCTAGAAGTTGTTCAGAAGAAGAACGGCCACTAGCGAATGTGATCTCACTTTCTCTCTAGTCAACGCCAGCATTTACAGAGCGCAGTTCATTAAAGCATTCATGACTACAGCGGAAAGTCAACGATTCTCCGATGCGTCGCGATTCTCTCTTCAACGATACTGAATTTCGTTTTTAACCGGCAGATTCGTGATGGTACTGCATTAGTGGCCAAAAGTGATGTCCGGAGGGGATATTTGTTTTTAATGACCCTACAAGTTTAATTAAACCATCAAAATATGAGGAAAATATATATTTTTAAATATTTTAAATATGAGGGAAGAACAAAGCGCTAAACTTGGTTTAAAGCTGCAGTCCGCAGTTTTCCCTCTTTGTCGCCATCTCTGTTCGAAATCTGCAATTGCAGTTATTATCGGAATTATCAACTTTACGTGAGTTGTGCTTCGGCGCGGCACAGCGCGGATGAACACAGTGTTTGAGGAGAGTGTGTGTCTGTCAGTCCCCGCGCCGGTGTCGATAATGGCATTCAGAATCACAGATTATTCTTTTGGGAAGTATGACCAACATAATAATTTTCACCGGAAAATGTCATCTGAACAAGTGAGTAACATCCACTTTTGTTCTGGTTCTGACATTGCAGTAAATCGCGCTGATTAAATCTAACAATCGCTTATCAAATCACGCAAAACCGTGCAAATTATACTTTGTTTTCAAATTGTTAATGTTAACAACGTCAGCATTGCGCGACTACATGTAATGTCCTTCCGATATTATCCTTGTCTTCGCATGGGTCCAGTTGCGGTCTCTTGTTTTCTGTAAGTTTTGAACCCTGGCTGGTTATGTATTTTTTCAAAAATGTATTTTGGATCATGTTTAACCCTACGGACTGCAGCTTTAAGGTATTTTTCTGACCATTTTTTTTCTTATTTTTTTGTCGAACTGCTTTCAAATTTCATGTGGTAATGTGCGACTATAAGCACTTTATATAATGCACTTGCATCTCAAAATGCTTTTATGATGTGAAATTAATGTAAACAGTCAGTTATGTCTTAAAGTGGTATTTCACCACTGACAGAATGGGTTTTCAATAAAACTTAGCTTTAAAGCTTCAACATCCATAATGCAGTGGGCATGGTGCCGTCCCCGTCTGCTATGGATATCAGTGGCGGCTGCTGGTCTTTCAAAGAGGGGAAGATCATTTTCGGCATAAATCATAAAAACTGTCCATTTATTTATACGTAAATTCCCTGTCGTACCAACTACGCGTCTTTTCCAGTGACTTAACCAGTGTCCTCTCATTGGCCAGCAGGGGGAAATGTGGGAATTAGGTTCAACTGAAACGTGGTGTATAATTGTGTGAAATGTATTGGCTAGCAATTTCGCCAAGCAAATAACAAGAAATAGGTTGCAGCAGTTTGTGTTTCGACTACACTTGCAAAATCCGTGATGGGACTGAGCTCGAATAGCTTCAGCATCAGCGACTTTTTATAGTACAAAATCGCTATCAATCAAAAGGAGATTAGTCTTTTGACAGACCCTCCAATCATCACGCAGAAGCCCGGAGTCCAGCCCACTCCTAATGTTTACGCCCAGACACGCTGAGCGTCCCCCGGGACATAATCGCAGCATCACACACACACTCACTCACACACACACTCACACCCAGACACGCTGAGCGTCCCCCGGGACATAATCGCAGCATTTATCCAATGACCGTCTAGTTTCGAAATACTGAAAAAACTGTTCAAAGCAGCCCCACTGAAGTCAATGGACGCTCGGCTTCAACAGGGAAATGCACAGGCGCTACGGGAATGTATGAGAAGGATCGAGTCCGCCGACCTGCTATATGGAGCTGATTCTGAACGAACTCGTCTTCGAGATGAACGTGTTCAAACACTTTTTAGTCAATAAAATGTTAACACAATAGTACATATTTGACCATTCATTTTTTGAAATCCCCACTGATGGATATGCTTGAACAGAGTCAAATACCACATTGCTTTAGTAGGAAATACTTCTTAGCAAACTTTTTTAGTCACAATAGTGTCGAGTCTGTTGACTAGCTGAAAAGAGTCATAAATATGGAGAGAATGCCGCGACGGACAATCTGAAAACCTCTGTGTTTGTAGTCAGCATTTCAAAGAGGATGACTATGAACAGTGTTTTAGGGCAAAAGGAGGATAAACCTGAAAGAAAGCTGTTGCCATAGTTTAACCCTTTAGTCGCCGACACAGACCAGCAAGCTGTATTCATTGTACCGTGACTCTTCAACCATTCGCACTATCAAAACCATTCAAATTGCCCCTGACAGTAGACAACATGCGCTTTTCGGCAATATACGGCTTATTACGGTAATTCCGTCAGCAAATGACAGCAGCTTTCTGGCAGAACGGGAAGGAAGGATTTGAACAGAGAGATACGAAGCGCGGCAGGTTGGAGTGTTTTGGATTGCATAAAAAGTAAAAGAAACTAACAAATACATCGCGAAAGAAGTGGTAGACAGCAGAAGAGGGGATTGGGATGATTTTTAATTAAACTTGGGAGGCGGATGGCCGTTACTCTTTCACGTATCTTTACATGTGGTGTATGCATGTGTATGTGTGCGTGCCTATGAATGGACGCATTTGTATGTGTGCGAGTATGAAAAAAAGTGTCCTAAATGAAAACTGTGCCACCCAATGTGACAAAAAAGACTTGTATCTGATGTATTATACTTCATTTTTCAACTTTAAAGTGTTAGTTCCTTTCGTTTGTGATAAAATCTAAATAAAAATCAAAAAATGTATTCTCGTTTTTTACAATTTTTGTCTATTTAAATTCTATTTACAAACTCACCACACACAATAATGGTCAATAACTGTAATTTGTTGAAAGCTAATCTTTTTCTGAAAAATATGACACCTTGCACATTATTTTAGAATTTTACAGTCAAAAAATCAAAATGTATAAAAAAACACCTATTTTAGCTTCAGGTTCTAAAGGGTTAAAGACTTGACAAAAGTACGATAACATTTTCAGTGATAAAACTACTCTTACTAAGAATAGAATAACTGCTCTGTTAATAACCCTCTGTCGACCCGACGGTCCGTGGGCAAAAAAGCGGA